TGGCGGGCGCGCGTGGCCGGGAGGTGGGTGCGGGAGCGAGCTGAGAGTGGAGGGGGCGTCTGGCCGGGAGGTGGGTGCGGGAGCGGGCTGAGGATGGGAAAGTCTTGGCATGAAAGGTCTGGGGGGCGCTTACCTGGCTCCATGCCAGGTGTGGGTGGCCCTGGGGCCAGGTGGGGGCAGCCCTGGGCCGGGTGAAAGCCTCCAGGCAAGCAGTTTCCCGCACTGCCGGGGGAGCGATAGTGGGTTTGCCCTCCCCCACAGGAAGCTGGTGCTGGTGATTCAACCTCGAGTGGGGGCGGGTGTGGGCTGTGGAGGGGGTGACAAGCTTCGAGTGCGGCCCCCCCACAAGCCGGGTGCAGATCACTAGCGGTCCACAGAGCCACGGCCTGGAAGGCTGCGTTCGACCCCTGACTAAGTGAACGGGCTGGTGTCACCTGGACTGGCGCTCACATTGCTCTCCCTGTAGATCCCAGCCCCCGCTCGGTGACGGGCCCTGGCCACCTGACCCCTGAGGCATGTGGCACATACGCTACGAAGAAAACCATCCGTGGGAATGGCTGACTCTGGCTCTTCCTCGCCGCTGGGCCTCGCAGAGGCAGCAAGCGCTGCAGGTTAATTCTGCATCAGTGTCCATTCCCCGGGGTCTCGTGGCGTGTCAGAAATATCGGGCGGGAAGGGACGTTGGGATGTCACCACGCCCAGCGGCGCTGAGGCAGGACCACGGAAACCTAGACCAGCCTAGAAACCAGACCGAGGAAACCTAGACAGTTTGTTTGTGGAAAAGGTAAATAAGAGAACCCCCATTTGCCTTCTCTGTCCCATTCATTCATTTCATAGAATCTTCCTATGTTGGAAGAGACCTCAGGAGTCATCGAGTCCAGCCCCCTGCCCAAAACAGAACCAACCCCGACTCCATCATCCCAGCCAGGGCTTGGTCAAGCTGGGACTTAAACACCTCTAGGGATGGAGATTCCACCCCCTCCCTAGGGAACCCAGCCCAGCGCTTCCCCACCCTCCTAGGGAAATAATTTTTCCTAATATCCAACCTAGACCTCCCCCACTGTAACTTGAGCCCATTGCTCCTTGTTCTGCCATCTGCCCCCACTGAGAACAGCCTCTCTCCATCCTCTTTGGAACCCTCCTTCAGGTAGCTGAAGGCTGCTCTCAAATCCCCCCTCACTCTTCTCTTCTGCAGACTAAACAAACCCAAATCCCTCAGCCTTTCCTCATAGGTCTCCAGCCCCC